CCCCAAAACCCCAAAACCCCAAAACCCCACAGTCTATTTCTTGTCGTGAATTGAATGAAAATCATCATAATTTGAATTATAATCTAAATTATATTTTTAATGAAATCTTTTTTTCTTAATGTTAAGCATTTCTATCAATTTAAAATCATATATATTCTTATTAGCTCAATGATAATTCGTGACTTCGAAGGTATTTAACTCTCTAACGCTTTGAATTTTATTTCCAATTGTAGTTGGATGATCTATGCTCTATTAATAATCTCTTACAGTAGTTGAAGATAAATCATTTAGCTATTCGTACTACGACTAGTGAAAATTACCATTATTTTACTACTAATCATATAGGTCTTTATAACTCATATTTCCAATCTTTACTTTAACTTTTTATTTACCTTATTTTTCATTTGCTCTTAATGCATGCAATTATTTCAGCTCCGTATTATTTTTAGTTTTATAAAACTTCATTATTCCAAGTCGCTTCTTTATAAAAGCAATATTGTTCTTGATTATTATCCTGAGGAAACAAGACATCCAATAAGACACAAATAGGATATTAGAAGCTAATATAAATACTAGCATAGCCACTTGAAAATTTTCATTTTTATCAGAATCAGTATCTATGAAAATGATTCCTCCAATAAGTATCGAAATCTATAGCTTTTGAAATATTAGAATTTCTTACTGAAGCATAAATACTAAAGCGATCAACCACATTCATTTAAGGATTGATATAAGGATTACGCTAGTAAGACAACTAAATTTCAACAAATAGTATGATTATTCCAGTTAAAGCCTAAATATAGTTTAAAGTAGATAAAATTACTCTATAAAATGGATCAAAAGTCGAAAGTACAGAGGAAAAAGATATAAATATCAGTTTCTTTCCATTCACATAGGCCAATTCCCAATAAAAGTTCTTATCATTAAGACCACTATAAAACAAACCATATTATTTTATTAATTTTGCTTCAGATAGACTTTTTCTATTTCTCATCAATTGAAGAGTGATAAATACTGGAAAGCAAATAGCCCAAACTAATATAAATGGAAGAGATATTGGCAAAGAGAAATTTTTGTGTTCTTGAGTCCAGCATTCAATACTCATATCAGATCTAAGATACTGTTTACCATCATCCATTTAAACACAACTAAACAAAGAAAAACTGTTCTATGTAATGATTGGATAGCATAAATAAGCAAAAAGTATACAAGAGGTTTTGAAATTGATAATGTAGTTCTAATTATCCAAAAGCCTAAATGCTCTTGCAGCAGTCCAAATAAGCCAGGCTATTACACTTAAAATAATTGGAAGTATTCCGTTTAGTATAACAAATAAGTAAACTTGCTTTATGGTACTATCTAATCCTGAACTTTTAAGAAAGCATTCGAATGACAAGACCTATGAGAAGCCTTATCCACCAATTGAGAAATATTCTAGAAACGATAATACTGTTTAAGGCCAATTTAACTAGAAATCTTTTACCATCATTAGAATCTAAAAGTAATTTGTAAGGATGCGCATCAAAAGGGTTTAAAGATTATTTCTGTTAGGCTTTCTGATGAGTGAGCTATTATAGGTTAGATATAATGTTTAAATTACTAAAGAATATAGATCATATATAGAGCTAACCCAATTATAATTGCTGTCAATATGAATATCTATTCTACTAATGAAAGACATTTTGAGCAACCATACTGACCACTTCTAGCATAGTAATCTCCATCAAGATATTTGGAGCACTCAGTGCACAATTTTCCTTAATACCCTAAAATGCACTCTGAGTTGTAGCCTCCTCTGAAAAATTAAATGACTAGCAAACTTACTAACACACACCAACTTTAGGACATTGGAAAATAGTTGTAGTATTTTGACTGCTTCTCCAATAGTTTTTATCAACTTAAATTACACTTCCTCCATCGCATCTCATTTTGGCAGGGCATGAATTGCAAGTTATATCATTGATAGAAAGAGAATAAGTGCCCCTTGTACAGAACTAGCACTTATTTTAAATCAAAACCTCTCCTGTCAAGCATTCTCTGAATTTTATGTCTATTATTAATGTTGAATCAAATCTTGGTTCAAACAACTTGATTCTTTCTTAATTTATTCCATTGAGTGTAAATGCCTTAATCTAAAATTCTTATGAAGGTTTGCCCACTAGAAGTACTTCTTTTATTTCAAAACTACCATTATCTGCTATAAATAATGTATTCCCGCTCACAGATAGGCTTTCGCTTCCTGAGGATAATTATAATGAACTTGAATTATCAAGATTTACTAGTTGTTCATCTTAATCAAACAAACCTAATTTTAAGGAATTCGCTTTAAGTAAGCCTCCACTTGCAAGATTTCTGAGAAAACTGATATCTGTGTTTAAGATTTTAAGTTTGTAGCTATAGGATGCAATATCATTTCCATATATTGCCTTATTATTTGTAAAGTAATTATCTAAAAGATTGTGAGGTCTAAATTAATCATAGTAGATTGCACCTCCTTGATAGGTAGCTTAATTACCAGTAATATTATTGCTAACTAAGTCATAATTGCATTCTTTGAATATTAAAATATTGAAATAATCTTACTTAACGAGCTTGATCGAGAGCATTTAAGATAAATTGCACCTCCAATTTGTTCTGCTTTTCCATTTTATAAATTTGATTACCTAATTAGCATATTCGAGGAATCACTAGATATGAAGCCTCCTTTATCTCGTGCATAACAATCACTGAAATTGCTAGAAATTATTGATAAGTTATAGACAACCATTTCTTCAAATGAAGATTTGTGAAGGATTGCTGAAGCACTAACAGAATTTAGTTCTTAAAAGCTACTTCCGTTAATATTAATGTTAGAATCAACTGAGTTTAAAACTAAGCCAACTTGATTGTAATTTATTCCACTACTAAAATGAGAATCAGTTAAGTTCATATCGGTATATGATAACTTGAATATCCTTGTGTTGAAATCCTCTATCTACATATTATTTACTATTAATCTACATTCACTTGCTCCAAACATCCCCTAGTTTTCAAAAGATGATATGAAATCATGTAAAATATAATTTTCAATAATTATTTCAGTCATCAATACTTCGATGAAATATTGTGATTACTCCAGTAGTTCAATTTATTGAAAGGATATATTCTAAAGATTAATAGATGATGATGAAGATTATAACAATTAACATTTTATGTTTTTTCCATCCAAATTTTTTATCTATAGCTATGAATTTGAATTGATTGAGATAAGGCTATTTGCACCTATTATATTTATCACATTAGCATATTGAATTTCTAATAAAGATTCATCAATCAAAATCAGAGTAGTTTCTAGATTATCAATATCTTTGATCATAAATTATTTTAATATCAATACAGATTAAGATTTGCTTTCAATGAGTGAAGTTTAATTTATTATGACAAGATTATTGTCAAAATTTAAAGTACCTTTAATCAATTAAATTCCATAATTTTATTACTGATCTATTATTATATTATCAAATAGTTATTTTATATGCTAAAAGTATTCTTTAAAATTTTGTGAATCAAATTCTAATTTTATTTCCTCTATATCTAAATATACTGATAAATTATCTTATATGAGTCCACCTCTAATCATAATTGCTCCTTAAGAATTGATGGAATAAAAAATACTAGCAATAGCAGCCCTATTTCTTGTTATATTACAATTTATGAACTAAGCCAAACCATCATTTTATAAAAATAATACTCCTCCAATAAGAGAAAAATTATCTAGAAAAGCGCTATCTTTTACCGTAATATTTCCACTTAACTAAGAGAATAAAACACCTTAATTCCCATAATTATTTCTGAATAGACTTTTCTCTATATCTATAAATGATTTAAATTGCTCAATCATTATTATTGAGCCTCTTCCATATCCAATATTATCTTCAAATGATATATTAGTCATTAAAACTGTAGAGTAGGCTTTTATATATAACAATGATAATATTTTACCATAGTTTCCAGCAATACTTGAATCTTTAACATTAATATGCTGTTACTGGTCTTTTTAAGGAATTTTAGGTATAAAGTTAAACAATCTCCCAGAGTTATTTCTTATATCAGCTTAAATGATGTTAAAATTTTTGGAGATTTGCTTTAATTCAAATAATGATGTTTGGCCTAGTAAGTTACTTATTGCCCTAAAGTTACTAATAGATATATTAGCATTTTCGTACTCTATCTCTTCTATCAATATCATTGGAAATTTATCAATCTTGCTACAATTTATTATCTTAATGTCATCAAGCACAACTTAAATGTAATCAGTTAGTTATTCGTAAATTATTTAGTTTATTCTTATAAATGAAACCTATGAGATTTCAACTTAAACCGAAGATAGTTTGAATGAATATTAGAGATTTTCATTAACCGTCAGCAATTTTTACAGATAAATAAGATAAAGCTATACTATAAAGCGTTATAAAAGCCAAAATATTTACCATTGCTATTCTTATAAAGACGAATGAAATGCAAATCATGCATTATGATCTCCCTGGAATGCTAGATATCTATTAGATTTCTTTCTTCTATTGTAATGTTTTCTACCCTTATATTTGACACTTCAATGCTTTCGCTGTACTAAATATAAAGCAATCTAGATGTTCCTATTACTGAATTTATCAAGCTAATATTCTTGATTTAATTAGACTATGCACTCTCTAAGACGATAAAAGAAAGACTAGGATCAACATTATCTAGAATATAGGTAATGAGAATTAAATATTGATACATTTGGAGGAAATGTTTTTAAAGTAGATATTTTCAATTAAGTTATTTACACCTGTGACTTAAATACATGAAGATAATCTTGAGTCCTCTATCAGTATATCCTAAAAATGATTAAAAACTAGTTAAGTCTAATTTACTTTGATTAAAATATTGTTAGACGCGATCTTGAAAATTGGCATTGTTAAATGGTTTGATATATTCTTAAAAGTGTTATTCGTTATAATAACTCTCATTTTATCAGTTGTTTCATCGTTTATATCTATTAGTGGTCTATCAGATGTACCATATATTGAATTTTGGATAATGTTGTCAGTAATTACCACTGATAGAAGAGAATATACAGATTTCTTGTATATTACCTATATCAAATTGTTTTCACTATACGGTATCTAACCGTAATCTATGATATTTCCTTTGAATAAAATTCTTTTTTCAGCATGATTATTTTCGCAAGTATCATATAAATAAAAGTACATTGGACTTTAAAAAGGACTCTATTATTTACCATAAAACTTGTTATTAATGAATTAGGTATCTCCGAAGGACTGCTCGAAGAAAAAGTTTTAGTTCTAGTCATTATTATACCCGTAAAATGTATTATTCTCGAATATCTAGAATAAATTTTACTCGTAAGTTTCTACTAATTTTGAGCAATCTTAATTACCATTACTAGCATAGCATGTGGCCACTATTGATGATTAATCAATGTAGTTATCACGAAAATGAAAGTTGAAACCATATGAAGATTTAAATAGTATCTCTTACAGTTTAAATTAGCAATTTGTAACATTTACCCATTTATAGCTTTAAGTACTATAGATAAGACCAGTAGCGAATGCTTCTTAAATTGATTCGCTTGCATCTTCAAAAGAAAGGTTTGATAAAATTAAATTTGAATTGTAAATATGAAACTTTGCTTTCTGCTCACTCATTTCATCAATACTTAGTAAATTGAGGTTCAATAGATTTTCGTAATTGTATGGTATAGGAATTTCTTCGATTAGTGTTGGGTTAAAAAGAGTTTTATAAGGTTAGATTCAAGAATATTCAAACCCTGATTTAATGAGAAAATTGTTTACCAATGCTTAATCTTAATTATCGTAATTTGGAATGTATTCTAAATTTTATGAATTCGATCCTAAATATGTCCTAAAAGTTTAAGGTACATAAAACTTACGTAATTGTAAAATTTTAATTCAGCATTACCAAAGGCATGCTAAAGGAGTAAATATAAAGCGGGCTTCTTGTTTCGACATAAATTTTGATGTCATATTCTTTTAGATATGCATTATTAAATATTTCTCTAAAAGGATCATCAATCTGCTTAAATGGATATGCCAGTGTCCCTAATTCAATCAATTCTTTGGAGGCGTTGTCAATGTAATACTAAGATGGATCTATATAACAATAATTAATAGTTAAATATACCTCTGCAGTAATTAAAAGCAAAGTCACCATATTAAAGGAGTCTTGGAGTTGACATTTATATCAGATGTTTTGGGCACTCTTAAAAACATTACCATGTTTGAATATCTCAAAACATATTTCTATCATTACAAAATAGACACTATGCTAAATTATTATTTTCAAAGCAAATCCCATTGCATTCTTGAGGGCAATCTATATCGATAAAATTTACTAAAACTTACCAATACACTTCTACTAAAGTTTACTTAAATACTAGTTCAAGTTGCATTCTTCTGAATTAAGAAAGTTAAACAGAGAGCTAGAAATTTAGATGAAGAATAGTAACTTTTATAAATTAGTTCGATTAATACTTTTCATTTTATCCTAAAATATTATTATCATTTCGAATAAAGGACTTATTTTTCATCATATTTTTGCTAATTTAGAGACAATCTAACGTCAAGGGGTTTTGGGGTTTTGGGG